TTTCATTAAAACGGACCCTTCACAAAATATTTTAACTTCCTCTGACAGAAAATGCATATTGATCCCACTGACACCTTACAGGTGTATCATCGGCCTGGGTTGGAAATATTTACTTGGCCTGTTTAGGGATGGGAAAGTGAGATAAAAGAAGCAAACAAGAAAAAATGCTTATCGCTACATTCCCCTCTGTAGATGGTTTTAAAAATCGGTATATGTATTTATTTCGAAGTAGAAATTTCAAAATTATTAGAAAAAAAATCAGTCGATGACAGAGAAAAGTTCATTAAATCCAACTTCCTCATTTTTTTGGTTCACTATAGCCACAAAAAATAACATACATGTATAGCAAGGCACGGGACCGAACATTTCGTTCACTATAGCGGGGTTTGACTGTACTTCAAAGTATTAACTAAATTTTTTAAATTTTGTTTTTTTTTTATTTTTCAAAATTGGGTATAATATGAAAAAAAACACAACTACTTCGATTTAATAGGAACAACATATGACGCAATGCTAAACGAATGGAATTTAGTTGTTGTTTATTTAGTTATTAGTAGTTGTTATTTGTTTTAGTTGTTGTTGTTTATTTAGTTGTATTTAGTTTCAATAACTTTTCTTTATAATGCAATGAAATCTGGCGAGCAGCTATTTAAACGATCAAACACTTCGTTTGTTTATTTGTGGCTTGAAGTTAGGCTCGCAGAAAATGCCGTTCATGGGTTAAATTTAGTAGGAACAGCACAACCTGTGACGTAGGCTATAATATACCCAATTGAATTGAATAGTCACTTCTTTTTTCTTAAAAAACAGACAAAGTTAAATTGAGATTTTTGGCGTTATTTTAGAAAGCGTTTTTTAAGAAATGTAACTCCAAAAAAGTTTTTTTTTTTTTTTTAAGATTTCAATCTAGCTTTTTCTTTTTAAAAAAAAAAAAAACTTTCATTGATCGACGCTTCTATTATGACGCAGCAATTAAACAGCTTTCTATTAGATTTAATTCTTTTTTTAACTTTTTCTCGAAAATACTGTATTCTTGGAAAACATAGATGTTCAGCTTTCAAATTATTTTCTAGAATTAAGATCGATTTTATTTTTTCTATATCGCTTTTGTATATAACCTTTTGTTTTTTTAGCATTTTTAAAAACCTTTCTATTTCTTTTTACGTTTTATGTGTACTTTTTTGTTCAGAAAATAAAGTTTAAGTTAAGTTTTTTTTTATCTTAAATATTTCTGATAGATAACTTTTTTTTTCCTTTGCCCCATACTAAAAATATAGCTAAAATATATTTTTTTATCTCAAATTATATGTTCTTCGTTGCTTTTTAATGATAACTTAATAGAATTATAATAAAAAATAAATGAATGTATAAATCTAAATAAAAGATATTTTGGGAAGAAGGAAAATTCCCCCATAATCAATGCGATTTTACAAAAAGGAAGGAATTCACTTATATGTGTGTCCAATAGAAATCTGTAACTAGTTCAAAAAAAATAAATTCAATTGGAGACAGGAAACTATTATGCAGATTTTGAGTTGTAGCACTTGATGCCTAAATGGTGTCAGTGTATATCCTTTTAAATCTAAATAAAAAATGTGCAATTTTTTCCCTCTTACCTTTATCTCAAAAATGAACTTTTTTTAAACACTAAGCATAATCGTTATAGGACAAAGTCTTCAGGGTCAGTAACCAAGGGTATATTATCTATGTAACTTGTCAAGATTCTCTTCATTTTCAAAATATACTAAACAATAAAGAGGTTTTAAGAAATCTAATTTTAATTATATTATTATGCCTCTGAACTGTTGACTTTTAACAGCTTTTCAAAAAAAAACATTTTGACTAGATTTACTAAGTTTAACTGTATTTCAATAAATTTACTAAATGTTTGAGGCAAATGGATGACATTAGTTTATTCTTAAAAATGACAAAAAAAATTGTTTCAATATCTGTATTTTAAAAATAAAATATATATTCCTTTTTTAAAAAAAAAAAAAAAAAAAAGCAGCTGTGTAAAACTTTTTCAATAAGGATTTCATGTTTGCGTGTTTTTTTTATATTAAACACCGCATTTTAAACTGTGCTTATGATCTTAAACATACATTAGGAGCCGTGTTCATTTTCTTAAACCTACATTTTGTGGAGTGTCCAGAGTAAGAATCTCACCATTGGTATTTCTTCATATTAAGTTAATTTTCAAAGAGAAGTACACATCCTAACAAAAATAGAGATTAAGAGGAAGTGAATGAAATATGTAGAAGAGCATCTGATACAGACAAAAATTTGCCTATCATTTCGCAAAAACTAACTAAATGAACAAATGTTTAGTCTTGCGTCAAATGCACCAAAAATTGCGGAGGAGATTTGTAAAATAAATTTTTAAGCTGCCCTTAAAATGCGTGACTCTTGAGAAGGCATTGTTGAAGCATTTTAATTTTCAAATTGTAACTTTCCTATTTCACCAAAAAACAATTCTGATGAAATAGAGGGGTTCTATTTGATGAAAACATTTATTTCAGATGAGAGAATGTTGGGGCGTTCACTTCTGATGAAAAAATATTCTTAAAAAGTTTTTATGATTGATTTTTTCCCATAAAGAACTTCAAATCAAAATGTACATTTACGATAAACTGAATTGTTTTGTAACCAGCAAATTTAAATCTAGAGTCATTTTGCAATAGGAGTAACTGAGCAATAATTAGGAAAGGAATAGATTGGGATTAGTTTTTGAAAACTTCTTAGACTAGAGCAATATTGTAATGAAGACAAACCTGAAGCAACATTATGTTGTCAGATTATTAATATCGCTCATTTGGTGAAACAATGACGTAGCTGATATATTATCGAAACTATCAGTTACGTCATTGTTTCACCAAATGAGCGATATGTTATTCCCCACAAGAAAACATATTTTCTGCGAAAATAGTAGCCTGATAATATGCATCTTGCTACCGCTTAATCTGTTTTATTGACACAAAAATTAATGAAAGAATTTCGTCACATAATATCGTGCAATCCGGTATTGACGGTATTAATCTGTATTTTATGGTAGTTTGTCTCATGCTTACATAATCTCTCATACTTAAAGTATCTGGACTTCACTTATTGGTTTTGCGACCTATCTAACAGAAATTACTATAATTGAATACAGGATTTGTTCTAAAAGGTTCCTTTTGATTTTTTTTTTTAATTTTTTTTNTTTTTTTTTT